GGGGGGGGCGGGGCTCAGACAAATGTGCAGGGGTGATGCTCAGAATATCGGAGCACTGCTGTGGCCTGGGCGCTGACCAGTCAGAATGGGCTGGTGTGGTCAGCAGAGTTCTAAGGTGTCCCCTATGAGCCCCATCTCCTGGTATTCACTTTGTGAAATCCCCTTCCCTTTGGGTGTGGGCTGGACCGAGTAAAAGTGTCTTTCAATGGAAGATTACAGCGGGACTTCCCTGGCGGTCCAGTGGTTAAGACTCCACGCTTCCGATGCAGGAGGCACGGGTTCAATCCCTGGTCGGGGAACTAAGACCCCACGTGCCGCGCAGTGCGGCCAAAAAAAAAAAAAATTACCGCAAAAGTTATAGGATGTCACCTTCAAGATTAGGTTTTAAGAAACTATGACTTGTTGTGTTCAGCCATCTTTCCTTGGTTCTTCTCTCTCTCTTTTTCTTTTAAATTAATCTTGCTTTCCTTTTCTATTACTTGTGTACTTTTTTAAAAAAATTTTTTTAATTAATTAATTTATTTATTTATTTTTGGCTGTGTTGGCTTTTCGTTTCCGTACGAGGGCTTTCCCTAGTTGCGGCAAGTGGGGGCCACCCCTCATCGCGGTGCGCGGGCCTCTCACTGTCGCGGCCTCTCGTTGCGGAGCACAGGCTCCAGACGCGCAGGCTCAGTAGTTGTGGCTCACGGGCCCAGTTGCTCCGCGGCATGTGGGATCTTCCCAGACCAGGGCTCGAACCCGTGTCCCTTGCATTGGCAGGCGGACTCTCAACCACTGTGCCACCAGGGAAGCCCCAGCCTCTTCTCTCTTGCCTGCCCTGGTGAAGTCAGCTGCCATATGCTGTGTGCGGCCCTATGGAGACACCTTACAGCTGGAAGCGGCATCCTCTGGCCAACAGCCAGTGAGGAGCTAAGACCTCCCAACAACCACATGAGCTTGGATGTAGGTCCTTCCCCACCAGAGCCTTGTGATGAGACTACAGCTCCAGCTGACAACTGGACTGTAGCTTGCGAGAGATCCAACTAAGCCTTGCCTGGGTTCCTGATCCAGAGGAACTGTGAGATAATAGGTTTTTCTTTTAAGCCACCTGGTTTTGGGGTAAGCCACTCAATTATGTAGCAATAGATAATTAATACAGTAAGGCTCTGGATGACCAGTATAGCCCTACAAACCAGTACACGAGGGAAGTGAGTGTTTAACTCAAGGTAAGGTATTTTGTGATAATAAATGTAGAGAGGACCAGGCAGGAGGCAGATGTTAGCTGCTCCCTCAACATCTGATGCCTTATGTGCTGTCAGTCCTTCCCAGCACCATCACGGTCTCCATCAGAAGAGCTGCTCACTCCTCGAAGTGGTTCTCTTGCCGTATCTGAGCTGGACAGTCGTGACAGCATCTGGACTGTTCACGATCACACTCGGCCAGTCCTTGGGTGAGTCTTTCCCCGCACCCACTTGCCCTCAGTAGCATCAGTAATCACGCTGAACTCCATTCTCCCAACTCAACCTCAGAAACCCCTGTGGTTAAGGAAAGGGTCATTGCTGAAACCATCTTCCAACAGCACACAGGGCCCAAGCCTTCATTCCTGAAGCCCTGCCCTCTCCCAGGTGCCATAAGAACTCAAAGGGGTGGACTTCCAAGGGAAGGAATATAAGAGCTGCCCCTCACCTAAGTACCAGTTCACTCCTCCCTGCTGAGTACCCAGACTCCAGGGATATTTCCTGGTCTAATTCTTCACATGCTCACTTTTGACTTTCTACAAGTCCCTTGTATACGATTCCTTAAGCATGGGTTTCTCCAAGGTGACCAAGTCTCTGAACAAAACTCTCTTTGTATCTGATGCCTGTTTATTTGCCTGATGTGGGCAATGCAGACTCATCAGTCCATCTAATGCCATCAGAGTGATGCACCAGGCACACAGGTGACAGGCTTTGGACTTCATCTCCCCAAGGGAAACTGAACTCAGTGTTTCTGGGGGACAAAGAGACTGCCCAGGTCAGGCAGCATCTGTTCAGACAGCTCTCTAGTGGACCTCTGTTGCTTGGGGCCTCCAAGAATCAATTCTTCCCTCCTCCTGGTATTGATCTCTTGGTTCAGGCCGGGTTGACCTCTTTCC